CAATCTCAAAGTCAACGCACGGCCCGTAGTGGTTTTTTGAGGCCACTCGAGCTTTGGCACTCAGTCTTGGGCATGTTGAGGACCGAAATGTCGACCGCACCAACGAGTTGGTTGTACGAGCTAATGCGGCCCGCAACAATCGTATCTAGAGCAGTTTTGAGTCAACACCGGATTGTGATGCGAGTACAACGATTTCTGTACCGTTGATGGTCACGTTCTGAAAGACGGACGGCAGCACTGAGTTGTTGATCCACTTAGGAATGTCGTCGAGGGCCCGGATCTTCATAAAGCTCACGACGGTCTTGGACGGGACAACATCCTACATCGCAGCAATGGAATGAGTGTTTGAAGCTGTAGACTGAACGTTTCATAAAATGGATGGCTACCTCTGCTTTCGGGTTGAGCTCCGTCGCTACGCCGTGGTCGGCCATGTACACTTGGTGGATCGGCGTGTGCGTCAGCACCATCGCGATGAACGCAAAGAAGAGGAGGAGCGGTCCCGGTAGCGTCATGAAATGCCGACGGAGCTGCTTCCGGGCCTTGAGCGCGACATGGATTGTTTCGGTTGGGATCGACGCCGTCGGCGGCGGCGCCATCTCGAGCGCGTAGGCTTCCGTTCGTGGGCTCGCGACGTCAAAGTATTCGGCCTTCATGCAGCTGACAGCAAATGCAATAATGTAATCGACTTGCAACTCCCAGATCGAACGGCAACTGGTTACGACCGGGCACAGTTATTACTGCAAATCCCTCGACACCTGTTTTTCAGTACATAGTGGAGGCTTCGTTCAATGTTTAACGGCCTGGTATGGGCGGCCAAGTGTGCCGGGGGTTGTGGGCGGTATCTTTTAAGTGGGACGGAATTGTTCCATGGAGCCGGAACCTTTTCGAACCAAACACCTTGGTCATGGAGGCTCCATACCCGCGGCGATCGTTGCGAGCATGCATGCAAGCTTGGGTCGCCTCCACTCGCACGAGCTCCACCTTGAAAAGTTGAGAACGACAACGTGTACAGTTTCTTTGCGTCGGAGGCTCTTGCAAGCGTTACGTATGAGTTGTTCGTCGACATGTGGCCCGAATAAACCCTTCCATATCGGGTGCAAAGCTACTCTTTTTGTGCTTATCGAGGACCGCTTTGAATCAACTTTTGAGCAAATCAGAGAATGGTCATTGAAAGCACAACTTCAATGGTCGGGGTCAGCCCCAACGATTGAAGTTTGGCTACGATCGCGCGCAGTCGTACCACACCTCGCCCGTCAAACTTTCAAAAAGGGACGGCTGCCTCCGTGCTGCTACAATGCACGCATGCGTGTCTATGGTGGGAAAAGCGCCATGTTGTGCTGTCGAACGCACAACTTGTGCGTTCGACAGCATGGCGACTTGTGTGGCACAAGTCGCCATGCCGTTTCCATTCCTTGCAGCCGCGAATAACAGTCGACGAGGCAGACGTCATTGCATGTGTCGTGGCAATTCCCTGCATTCGTTCTTGGGTCGCTTGGTAGCATTTTCCAATTGCAGCATCCAGATTCCATTGGGGAAGCATGAAAGCCCCTGCGGCTCACTGTACGTTACTGCGCCCATATACGTATCTTGTTTGGGCGTCCCATGCGCGCGATATGCGGCAACGATGGGGCTGACCATCCCTTTTCCGGACAACATTATCCGGATGTCACACATGTTGCTCACTTTGTTTTGATGACCAGCGCGGCCGAAATCGAAGCGCTGCAGGTGCTCCTCGCTAAGGAGCTCTACCTCGAGCACGTACGACGGCGCCTGCTACTGCGGCTCCAAAGCCCATACTCATCTGTCTTGTAGGCGAGTCCGCTCTACGTCGCGTGCACAGAAGGCGACATGGAGAAGGTCACGTCGCTCCTGGTCGACGCCGCCACGGACGTCAACTGGCGCACGCCCGACGAGGGCTGGACGCCGCTGCACATGGCGTCGGCCATGGGCTACGACGACATTGTCGCGCTGCTTCTGCGCCACGGCGTCGCCGCCGACGCGCTGGGCCACGTACGAAATCCTGACCCTTTCGCCGTCCTGTTGATGGCTTTTTTTTCTGTTAGGACGATGTGACACCGCTCATGGCCGCGTCGATCCAAGGCCAGCTCTCGACGCTGCAGCTGCTCGTCGACGAAGGCCATGCCAACGTCAACGCCGTGACGACGGTGCGTCACTCGGTCGCTGTCGCCGCGCGTCCATGTGCGATGTAGGATGGCACGTCGGCGCTGCACGGCGCTGTGCA